GACCGTGGTGCCAGTGCGCCCGTACCCCGGCGTGCCGTGGCGCGTTCCCCCCCCCCCCCCCCCCCGACAGGTCACCATCCAGCAGGCCCGTGTCGGGACCCCCCCCCCCTCGCTCCCTGTGAATGTTGCTCGGCACCCTCGCCCCCGATCCGAGAGGGAGGCGGTCTTCGTGCAAGTCAGGCTCGGACCAATGGACCGTCGTACCGCCCCTGCACACACTCGAATGAGAACACAGACATGCGTGCACGCACACGCACACACACAAGGACACTTGCACACACACACACACACACACACACACACACTCGCACACTCGCACACACACTCGCACACACACTCGCACACACACTCGCACACACACTCGCACACACATGCCAATGATGTGTTGTCCTCGGGCCCCGGGGATCGTCGGATGATAGCCCCTCGAACCCTTGATTGATCACCTCTGTCGCCATACCCCGCCGATCTCCATGGAGGAGAAGCCCCCGTCGGAGGCTCCCGGGGCCGGGGGGTACCCCTGGCGGCCGGTGTGCACGAGGGTGGCCGAATCGCCGCCGTGATGGATCGAGCGAGGCGCCGGCGTCGTCAGGCCCGCCGGAGGAGCCGCGGACACGCAACAGCGCAGACATCAGGGCGCCCCGGAGGGGCTGGGAGCGAGCGAAAACCCGGGGACACCCTGCGATCGCGCCCCCTCCCTTGTCACACGACCCCCTCCTACCCCGGAGCGCCGATGGGCGGACACTCGTAGCATGCCCGCCGAGCCAGCCGCCGGAGATGGGTCGGCCCGCGGGGACGCATTCCAGAGGGGAAAAACCGGCCTCCCTCGCCCCGCTCCCGGGGTTCCCCGCTGCCTGCTCAGGGGAGAGCTGCTTGCGTGGGGGGGGGGGGGGGGGACGGCCGGGGGGGAGCTGGACCCGCGAGGTTAGAGATGACCCGGCCACGGTCAACTATGAGCAAGCATGCTCACCCCCGGAGGGCGCCGCCCGCGCTGCGTGCGGGTTCGCCCCCCGGCCCCGAGACGCGCCCAAAAGCCCCCGCCCCCTCCCGCCGCCACCCAGGCTCGCCGCCACTGTCCGACCCGGAGGCCGGCCCCCCCCGCCCCCCCCCCCCCTGTTTTCC